AGCATAAATACTGTGGATTTCCAGGTGTCAACAGTCAGGTAATGTAAACATTTAGATGATACTTTGCATTGTTGGAGTCTTTAGATCTAATGTATGTTGTGTTAGTTTAATCCGTTTGTTAGAATCTACCTCCTTGTTGGATTTGTTGACTTTCATTTCCAGGTCATATCGCTCCTCATCAATCACATCGATCTTGTGGTGGATTTGTCTGCAGAGCTCCTGAACACAGAAATCAACACAGAAGATACAACCCTTTCAAGTTCATCATTCTGCAGAGGCTGAAACATGACGAGTGGGTTGGTTGCTGCTGCTATAAAATCGTTCCTGGGCAGGTCATGTTTGATTTGTTCACAAAGTAAAAGGCTAAAAATGAGTCAGAGATTCTGAAATATGAGATGGAACATTGGAAAACTTTGGGTCTTGGTTCTCAACTGTCTTCAGGACCCTTCGTTACCCTCAGTGATGACCCAAATCGAGGAAAATTTTCTAATTTTTTACATTTATTAAATGAACAGATGGTGCAGAATCACTGATTCTGTTCATAACTTTTACGGACAGAATTTCTAGGTGTAGCCAAGGTGTTGAGGGGATCTGTTTTGGTGACCTTAGGATCACATATCTGCTTTTTGCAGATGATGTGGTCCTATTGGCTTCATCAGATCCTGATCTCCAGCTCTTACTAGAGCGGTTCTCAGCCGAGTGAGAAGCAGCAGGGATCAGGATCAGTGCCTCCAAATCCCATACCATGGTCTTGAGCCAGAAAAGGGTAGGGTGATTCCTCCGGGTCGAGGAGGAGGTCCTGCCCAAAGTGGAGGAGTTCAAGTATCTTGGGGTCTTGTTCACGAATGAGGTAAGAATAGAGTGGGAGATGGACAAGCGGATTGGTGCTGCATCTGCAGCTATGTTAGCGCTGTTCCGGTCAGTCATCGTGAAGCGGGAGCTGAGCCAGAAGGCAAAGATCTCGATTTACCTGTCGGTCTACGTTCCTGCCCTCATCTATGGCCACGAGCTTTGGGTAGTGACCAAAAGAACGAGATCATGGATACAAGTGTCTGAAATGAGTTTCCTTCACAGGGTGTCTGGGCTCTCCCTTAGAGATAGGGTGAGAAGCTCAGTCATCCAGGAGGGACTCAGAGTAGAGCCGCTGCTCCACCACGTCGAGAGGAGCCAGTTGAGGTGGTTCATCTAGTTAGGATGCCTCCTGGACGCCTCCCTGGTGAGGTGTTCTGGGCACATCCCACAGGGAGGAGGCCCAGAGGAAGACCCAGGACACGCTGGAGGGACTATGTTTCTCAGCTGGGGAACACCTTGGGATTCCCCCAGAGGAGCTGGTCCAAGTGGCTGGGGAGAGGGAAGTCTGGGTCTCTCTGATTAGGCTGCTGCCCCCGTGAGCCGACCCCAGATAAGCGGCAGAAAATGGAACGGAACAGATGGTGCAATGTGAATCTGACAGAACAGAACATTGTTTGCCAACACGCAAACAAACAATGACCCAAAATGACCATGCTATATTCAGCTGCATTTGAATAAAAAACAACTTCACTTCTGTAACCTGAAGTAGCTGCAGAAAGACTAAAGTTGTGTAGCTTTAGCTGACAACCTACTAAATCTGTAACAATGTCAACAAACTTAATCCTAATAAAATTAGTCAAGCATTAATCATGAGGTAGGCATACTGTAACAGTTTCTGTTTTTTCTTTCAACCTTTTTTTTTTTACGCAGGCAAAGCCCCCGATACATTGTAAAATGGGTCTTTGACCTACTTTTGGGTCATATTCCACCAGCTAGGAATCACTGCTTTGGTCAACAACAATATATAAATAAACACACCTCGCCTGGATAAAAACACAAAGAACACGAGAAGTGTGGAACCTGTTAGCTGCAAAAGAGCAACCAACTCCCTCCACTTTGTGTTGGTTCTGAAGTGGTCCAGTCTAAGTCCAGACCTCAGTCCAGCTGAGAATCTGTGGTTTGATTTAAAGATTGTTGGACACAAGCAGCCTGTTAATCAGACATTTAAACCAGGTGTGCTGGAGCAGAGACACCAGGACAGTGGTCACGCTACACAATATTCATTTTGTTTTTCATTTAGCTTTATTAATCTGAAGCATTTTATAATGTTATCGATTTTATTTAAATTAAATGTTGATGAGGTTCCAGGTTGTAAAATAAAACAGTTTTTGTCTTGGTGCTGCAAATGTCTTCATGTTTGGAGCTTTGGATAAGGAGCTGCCTAAAATCTTTTTCCTGTCTGATCAGGTTGATCTACTGTATTTCTCTATAAAATGTAAAATGAGTTTCCAAAGAGTCAAATGAAACATAGCTGTGTGAAACCCTGAAAGAGACGTGGTGAAAACAAGAAATGATGTGAGCCACCTGCAGCTCCTGCATGGTTCTGGGCATGGACAGAGGAGGACAGTTCTCATCGATGTACCTCCTCCTCTCCTCCTCTCGCTCCTGCTCCTCCTCCTCCAGTAAACCTTTGGCTATGGACAGCATCAAACTCTGAAATGAAACAACACGGATCAAACTGAAAGGATAAGACAACAGATCCTGTTAGTGAAAGCTTCTCTCTTATAAACATCTTTTACCTTCAGGTGGTGCTTCCGACTCGATGACATCTTTTTACTAAAATTTTTTAGAACAAATTCAAGTCATTATCACAAACCTTGTTTACACATTTGAAGGAACTTAGAAGAAAAATGACAGAATTACTCACTCTGACATCTTGATGTTTGTTGTTTTTAACCCTAAAGAGAACAATACAAAAAATAAAATAAAATTTGTAGATATAGACAAGTACTGTATTTATTTGTGTATAATACGATCTCATGTATAATACGACCCCCCCCCACTTTTTTTTAGCTTAAAAAGCATAAAAAATTGAATCCTCAATCTACCTCCAATTTCATGCAGACTTCAAGATTTTTCAGCCTTTGCAGTCTTTATCAGTAAAATGATCATAGGACTGTTCATTTTATTTTAACAACATATGTACTAAAAGGTATTTTGACAACAAATATACATCAGCTGTAGCAGCATCATATGAATTCTGACATTTTACACATAGTCCACCAGGATGCGCCAACACAAAAGTCAGAGACTTCACATGAGATTTGGGCCATCTTGTGGGGGAAAAGCAGATTACTTCGTACTCGCGAGCGCCCCCTCTGGTGGGGAAACGTTTTTTCAGGGATACAAACTTTTTCAGAACACAAGTAGACGGCAGCCATTACAGACAAAGATGTGTTTGTTGTTGGTTCAGAAGCGGCTCGGTCACACACTGATGTCGTTCGTTATCATTACTAAGGTGCAGGACTACTTCCCCCTTTTTTTCACATCATGTCGCCTGCTTGGATCTGTTATCTCGCTCTGCAGCACAGAGGAGTGTCAGTGTAAGCTCGCTTCAACTGCTTTTTACGACGCGGTCTCATTTAAGGACTAATGCAGTTTATGAATGACGCCGATATTTCAATTAAATATGTAAAAATATTTATCCAAGTATAGTCCTACCCCCCAACTTTATGGATGATTTCATGGATTTGATTTTACGTATTATACTTGAATAAATACGGTAAACGACACAACAGAAACCAAGAACCCAATTAGAGATGTGCCAAAAGTCTGAAACGCCTCAGTCAGATGGAAATTAGAGTTCCACTTAAAGGAAACTCGACACTGATGTGAGCATCAACAACTCGCCTCCAACAAAAACCCTCAGCTCTTATTTTAGTCCAAGGATCTGAGGTCCAGTTGTTCCCTCTGAGCACTCGTCATGAGAAGATTATCAAGCAACACTTGATCCTTTCTCTGTTGCTCCAAACCTCTCAGACATGACAGACACTCGCCTCAGAATAGAAGCAGAGAAGAATCCAGATGAACAACAAATCTCCTCTCGTCTAATGGGTCTGATCTCATCTAGACACAATGTTTTATTTCTCAAACACACTGATTTGATTCTTCCTTTTTGGACTGAAAAGTTTTGGTTGTGATTCGACCTGTAAATTATTTTAGACAAACTCTAAATTAGTAGAAAACTTTCTAACTAACGACAAATCCTAAAAATAAGGAAATAAATGTAGTAAAAGAGCCAAAAGCTTCATTTCCAAAAACATCTTATAAATAAATTGAACTTTAATAAAGTTTTGAGTTATATTAATAACAGGGGGCATGGTGGTGCAGAAGTTATAGGTGGTGCACCTGTGATCAAAAAGTTGCTGGTTTAAATCTTGACCGTTACATTAAACTCTGGAAGGGAAAGGTGAAGCCCCTCCTGCTCCCCCTGCCCCACTCAGTAGCTCAGTGGTTATATCTGACAAATAAAATGAAATTAAATAATAAAAAAACAGCTGCTGAATCCTCATGAGTTCCCTCACTGTGGTGACCTCAGAGAAAGACAGCGGATGAAAGAAAAAAAAATCAGTTTTTTTCTCTGTCCAGCTCCTCCTGCAGGTCAGAGGAGCTCAGATCTCTGAGTCCAGTTCATCTCGTCCGTCTGGATCCAGGATCTCGTTCTGGACTCCTGTCCTGAGTTCTGTTCAGCTCAGATCGTTCCCTCCACGACAGTCGGTTCATCCATCACTCATAAATAAACCCTCAGACACCTGACCTGAAGAAGCCTTCCCTCTGAGAAACTGGACCTCAGCTTTCACTCATTATAAGAAAAGATCAGATTTGGCACAATTTTCCTAACTTTTGTTTCATTCTGTTTTTTTTTATAATCTTTGAAAAAAGTTTGCTACCAAGTTATTTTTTTACTTTTGATATAAAGTATCATCACGTTGTCAGTTAGCTAACATTCTCGATTCATTTTATCTATTTTAGACATTTAGCCAACAAAAAGTTTTCATCCCCTTGGATGTTTTAAGCTTTTATTGCTGTCATAAATCAGTCATGGTCGAAACTGGTAATACAGTATACTGTATATATA